GTATAAAATGATCCACTTTCTTAGGATCAAGAGAACTACTTAGTTATTTAAGTAAACCATTTCTTAGTTTCACAGAGCCAACTTTAAATTCATTCTAGATCATGCCATGTGAGGCCCACACTACAGAGTGACATGAAGAGGGGAGAGATTTCCAACTCTGTCCAATGAAAACACCCGATGATCCTCAGAAGGATCAGCCATGTTCTATTTGAGACCATAAGAAACAGGTTTATCCAGTTACATTTTAGCACCATTTTGTATTATTCAAAACTATAAAGCATTTTGCTATATAAATACTGCCAAGTCACTTAAATACTATACTACAAATAGGAGAAACTTAAACTTTTTTTCAAAAAGGTTGACTCAATTGAGTATTTTATTCACTCTGTGTATATGTGGGGCAGGGGGTTGGGGTGGGGTAGCGAATTAATACAACTGGACAGATCTAAAAGTCCAAATGATCTCTTACCCTCATCACTTTTTATTCTGTACCTTATCTGTTTTTATATTCATTTATATTTTACTTCATATATAATGTTCTTAAAGTATTTTTATGTATGTATTTCTCACATTCTCTTGGCTTTTTCAGATTGGCTATTTTGAGACTTTTTTCTTCTAAAAGTAGCATTTATTCATTTATAAATCAATAGACAACACAAAAATACACAAAGATGAAAATGAAACACAACAGTGGCACTTAACCACTGAAGGAAGCATTTGATAATAATTAAATTTTAGGTGAAAAGATTTGGGGTTAATAATGCCCAAGTAATTTTCATTAACATTTTGATGTATATCCTTCTAGCTTATAAATACACAGATGGACACAGATGGACACACACACACACACACACACACATACATACACATAATTATTTGACCAATAAATACTAATAGAAAGAACTTTGTAATACATACTAGTATAACCCAACAGTGTTTTAATAAGAAAAGGCACTTAAATTTATATTGATTTCTTACAATCATAAGAAAGGATTTCAGAGGCATTCATTATAAAGCAATGAATCCACTCCAAGTTACAATGGAAAAAGAAAGCCAGTTAGCCAACTCAAATTGCTGCTAAAATCCTGTATTTTGAAAAGCTAGTAGTTTTGGGATTTCTACTCAATCATTCTTGGTTCTATTCTTTAGAGGCTCCTCCATGATGCAAACTTAGTGGGATGTGTTTAAGATCTGAAAACCATTAGTACAAATTAAGATGAAGTTGGCTTTGTTCTTCAACTTCCTGTAAAAATGCTCAACAGGAAAATTGATGCTCACAGCAAACCACAGCCATCCTGTTTCTTTAGCACAATCTTTTCACAGCTGCAGTCGCCTGTAGTTTCTGTTTGACGACCAGTCACAGTGCAACATTTCTGTGCCCCAACCCGCACCCCCACCAACCGTGATGTCCTTTGGCCATTTTAGAAAATGTAACATCTTTGCATAAAGTTTGTTCCTATTATTGTTACTTTTCCTCTTCTCAGGCCCAAGCTCAGAGGGCTGCAGGCAATGAGGCAATCGATACAAGAGGAAAGACAGAAAAGGCTGCTCAGCCCAAGAGGAAGCAGAAGGTGGAGAAGAGAAGCAAGGGTTGCTTTACGATAAGTAGAGCGACAGCCTCGCCTAGTTAGGTGTTGCTGTTATTCTCAGTCTGAGCTGAATGTGGAATACAAGCTTTCTGTACCCGAAACCCCTTATTTCTCAAAAAGTACTTGCTCCTTTCTCGGTTGAACAAGATTTCAGATGATGTTAACTTAAGTGAATTGTGCTTATGGGCTGTCTTCTCAACGGCAAGAATTGGCCTAAGGGTTAGAGCAGGGGTGGGCAAACTTTTTGACTCGAGGGCCACAATGGGTTCTTAAACTGGACCGGAGGGCTGGAACAAAAGCATGGATGGAGTGTTTGTGTGAACTACTATAAATTCAAAGTAAGCATCATTACATAAAACGGTACGGTCTTTTTTTTTTTTTTTTAGTTTTATTCATTTCAAACGGGCCGAATCCGGCCCGCGGGCCGTAGTTTGCCCACAGCTGGGTTAGAGGGTCCTTGGCTATTTTGTAAATACTTCTCTTAGAATTTATTTAGATAAAGAGTTGATTAATTTGGGAGGTGGGAAAGGCATTTTTCAGAAGACATTTTGGAGCATCTACAATGTTATTACAATTAGTATGACGCCAACTCACAATTTTACTGTAAGAGTAAACTGCTAGGAAAATAAAGGCTGCTATGAAGTAAAATTATTTTCTTAACCTGCTGTCATATATGTTTAATTTAGAAACTAATGCAAATTCATGGACATCAAGCCTTTTCAAAAGTGAGAAAATGAAAGTAAGTTGAATGACCCACCTACCTGTTGTTTAACTGTGAGGAAGGGAAGGGAAACCCTGTTCTACTTTATCCACATAACTCAACAGCATCGATTTCCTCCCACGACCTCCCAGCTCTGCCAAGCATTCTCTTTAAGGGCTCAACTCTCAAATTTTCCTAAATCCTCAGCACCATCGTTAATTTTATCATGGAATTAAGATCTACCCCTGTTCTCCACTACACACACATACATACACACACACCCACTCACACACAGATTCATACACATGCATGCACTCACACACACACTGCGTCTATGTCAACACACTTGATGTATTTTATTCATTTTATTGTTGAAAGTGGGGCCTTTTTTTTTCTTGAGGATGTTTCTTTTTAAAATAATTTAACACTTCTTATATAAGTTAGAAGTGTTACCAAACTTACTTCTGCAAAGGTCAGAGACTTAGAAAGAAAAATGTCTTATTCACTTTAAAGCTATTTACTGTTGCTGTGACATTTAAAACGAAGCATTTGCATAATCCCAGACTCCAGGCCTCGAAAGGGCATCTGATGTTGTCTCTAACCTGCACTTAGGAAAAAAGTTCTTTAAATTACAGAACATTTCCTACACACTTAGTTGTCAGGTGGCCTTGGGCAATTACTTAGCCTCTCTGAGTCCAGTTCCCACAATAAAATGGGGAAAATGGCACCTATTAAGTAGGGTTATTAAATGAGGCAAGTGCTTAATAACTTTAGCCATTTTTAAAAAAATAAAATAAGTGAAAGTAAAGAGCCTAACACATAGGAAAGGGCTCAATAACTGTTACTGCCCCCCCACCACCACCATTTTATGATGAAAAAGAGAAAACACAAGTTGATTTAAACCTTACTCCACATGTCCATGTCTTTGTAAACCTCTGCATTACAAGTGAATGGTGAAGGGAGGTGAGCATGAAATTTTAATTTTCTCAGAAAAGCATACTAATTAAGGCATTCCTTATTCTAGTATTATTTTCAGTTTTAATTTTCAGGAGTGAGGGTTGCAAAATACAGACAGAGGTAGTTATGCCAGGGAGGGGAAATGCTCCCTCCAACAAGAAGTAAATGTATGAAAGTTTGGTGTAACAAAAATGAGTCAAATCGCAAGCAGCCAGAAACTTCCAAAGTAAATGACGTGTTCACGAGATGTTAAGCAAGCCTTCAAAAGGGCAGAAAACTGAAAAGGTCCAGGAATTAGGTAGCTCATTCCTCTTACATTTTAGCATGGGTTGGGGAACTTACAACGTATAGGCCAGATCTAGAACTTGATATCATCAGGGATCAGGGTAGATTTGCTGCTGATCCCTGAGGGATGATTTTCATGGGGATTTCTCTAAGTATTGCAGTTCATTCACAGTGTGTGCAATCCTTTAAAGGTTTAGATATTGGAGTAATTGAAGAGCTGTGAACAAGTGACCCATGAGTGAACTTTTCAAAGAGCATTAGAAAACCCAACTGATTTTAAGAGAATTACTTAATCTCTTTAGACTACAAAATAGTTTTACCTAGACGATGTTCCACTTCAGAAGCAAGATAGCTTTATGAAGGTAACATATAATGCTTATGACCCCCACCCAAGTGAATAGTAAGGGTATTTTCCACATGAACTGACCTCAGAGCCTTTCCCAGGCTTCTCCTCGTCCTTCCTTTCTCTCTATCCAGCTGTACTACTTTTCTTCCTGCAGCCTTTTCATTTGACCACTTCCCCGTTTCCTACTGTAGACCCTACTCAGACCATTGAATTATTTAAAAGAACTTGTACTTATTGACTAAATTGGCATGTACCCTCTTAATATTTTAAAGCTTTATTTTCTGTTGCTTCATGAGGGGGTGGGGAGGAATGTAAATGTCAAGTTGCTTTTTCATACATGCCCCAAAGGAAAAAAAAAAACTTTTTTGATACCCCTAAATTTCCTCAATCTTGCTCTGTAGGTCTCTGGGTATTAGGCTCTGGGTACTAGGCTTGAAATTTTAAAACTACAATATTTTATGCCAAAATATTCATCATATTAAATGTAAATAGTTATAGCGAATGCTACAGAATTGGAATAGCAATAGTGGTTGTGCATGGATTGCACTGGTAGGATGTTGAATGATTCTAAAGAGAAATCATATTCTCTAAAGACTGCTTAGAAATGGTTTCATTTAAGATTTGTACTGAAGTAACGTCTGTCTGTTGCAGTAGAATAACAACAGTTTAGTTCCATGGTGCTTTCCTTTGAAGTTTCCAGTGACTCCCTTTACTTTAAAAGCATTTGCTGTTGCTGGCCAAAGCACAGTCAAAGGCAACCGGACTGCCCCATACACGGAAAAGTTACACTTCCTAACTGGCATAAGGCCCTGTTTTAAACAGGGGGGGCCGGGGGGGGGAGGTAGGTGGTGAGGGGGTGAGGGGAAGACTTGTGGATCAAACAGTCCAGGAGTCAGGAAAAATGCTACTGATAATCTTGCTTACATTTTGGCTCCAAACACAAGTTATGAATCACCTGCAATCACCATAGCAGTGAAGCTGGCCTTCTGTGCAAGAGGAACAGACCACGTGGTCTTCCATTGAAAAATTGAGCTTTATCTCAACATACTACGGCCCGTTAAAATCCATTTAGTTCCCCCCTCTAGCTGATAAAGAACATACATTTAAATATAATTTTTCTTACCGTTAATGGATACTGTAGGAAGGCATGATCAGGGACACAGGCAGACAGAGAGCAAGGAAGAGATGAACCCTGAGAGAAAACGGTCCCTGAAAAAGGCATCATCTTCTAAGGCAAATGCGGGGTCGCTTTTGGACAGTCATTTTGGACACGCTCTGGCCTCTTATTAAATATGACATACTGAGTCAGAGGCAGCCGTTCTCCTGTGGTTATTCGCTTCCTGTGTGATTAATTTGTTGTTTGTTCCTTCCTCCTTTGCTGCAGAAAGAAACTAGAAACTAGATTGGTTTTACTTAAGAAGCAAGCAAGCAAAAAAACAACAACAACAAAACACACAACAACAACAACACACAAACTAAACTAAAAGGATAAAAAATGTTTCTCCTTCCCACAAGGTGTAATATCCCTGCTTGGCACAGTAAGAGGAGGAGATCAGAACATCCATCTAGTTAACAGTCCAACTTTATTCTAGATACCTCCACAAAAATAATTGTTCACGGAATCCGAGATTCCTTCAGGAAAATTCCATTTGAAAGAATCACTCTCGATATTAACTATACCATTTGGTATGAAGAAAAAGAGTCATTCAAGAATTAAAAGCTCTCAAATGCACCAATAATTGGGACAAATGATTCGTCCTCGTCTCCAGAGCATTCAAGTGTATAGGGAGAAAGTCACAAATGCAAGTGAAGAGAGCTGGTCAGGTGTATGAAAGCAACTGCGTTTTGACAGGTGATTTGGTGCCCAAGTCAGGATACATGATACACAGCTCAGGCCATATGAAGATCCAGAGCTTTCTATGCCAGCATGTTTTGTTTCTGTCCTTCATATTTAATGGGGTAACAATACCTCTTCCAGGAGACGCTGGACAAAAGCACAGAGATAATGAACACAGAAGGAAAGCCAGGCTTCTCATTGAAAGACTCTGAGAGGTGGATGGGCAATGGAATGTAGGGAGAAAATATTATACCAAAACCTTGTATGTTTAAATAATCTGAAAATGCTCACAATTTTTTTCTAGATCCATCTGAAAGGATCAGATTTAATGTTCTCAACACATACCATATAACTCTGATAAAATAATATCAGTTGAAAGAATGAAAAACAGAGGCATATTTCAGTAACTAACCTTGTTGTAAAATTTGAACTTTGGGTCTTGACTTTGCTGGGTTCTGAGAAAAATGGCATGAAAAGACAAGTTGCCTAATATTCTGATAGAGCTGGGTAGACCAGTGGTTCTCAATTTAGGAGGCTGTTGGAAATGTGTGGTGGCATTTTCACTTGGGAGTGGGGGACAGTGGGTTGGAATGGTATTTGGAGCCAAAATGTAAGCCAGATTATCAGTAGCATTTTTCCTGACCACTGGACAGTTTGGATCCACAGGACTACACCCCACCCCACCCCCGCCATTTAAAATAGGGGCTTATGTCAGTAGGATTCATGGGCAGAGCCAGGAATGCAAAAATTTCCTATGATGCTTAGGACAGTCTCATCCAAAACACTGGAAATGCTTCTACTGCGGAAATGCTCTCACTGAGGAATACCAGCATAGCTGATGTCTAAGGTTCTTCCAGACTCTAAACTCTTTGAGATATGAGTCCAGCTGCACAAGCAGAGTTATCATGATGCCAAGCCATGGCAGAATTCCTGAGCACAGAGCATTGGAGGATTAGTGACTGAGAATCCTCTACTTTGCGTGGAGCCTCTTGAAGGTATGACTCTATCCCTCCTGCCTCACACAGGGCCTGGGGTCCAAGGGACACTCACTATATGAATAACCCATGCAGGCGTGGGGCGGGGCAGAGGTGGAGGCCTGCAGCTCCCATCTGTTTCCCCCTCTACTAACTACCAAGTAAATGCCTGAGTGAACCTATGGGGAAGTCTAACTATAGTTGGGTCTAAAAAGAGAACATGAGCAATAAGATGATTTCTCTATGTATTTTGAGAATTATTTTTAAGTTCTTGAAGTGAGCACCCCAAACACACACACATGCACACACACACACGTGCGCACACAAGATGCACAGGAGCTCATGGCTATTCTTGTCCACCAGCATCAGCTCAGCTAGAAGGGAGTAGGTCACCGAGAAGCCTGGAGCCTCTGAGACATGCAAGGGAGTAGTTATCTAGAGTTTGGGTTTATTTTATCTTTAATGAAAACTTGTAAATACAATCAACTTTGGACACATTTATGAGGTGTCTACCAGGCCCCATAGGACCTAAATCTGATAATGTTTCTCCCCTGATTAAAATCTGCCAGTGGTTTCTTCTTTCACTTAAAAAGTCTAATCTCTCCACCTAGATTCAAAAAGACCCACAATATCTGGCCCCTCCCTAGTCCTCTGACCTCATCTCAAGTAACCTCCCCCTTGCTAATTTATTTTCTAGCCCTTTCTGTTAAATGCACCTATTTCATTTGCATCCTGGGGCCTCACACTTGTAAGCCCTCTCAGCAGGTAAGCTCATCTCCTGGTTCCTTCTCATTCTTCAGTTCTCAGCAAAAATGAACTCATTCATGCCCATCTCTGCTCCTGTTTTCTTTTATGCATAGTACATGTCACCACTTGACATTTTTTCCATTCATTTAATGGTTTATTTACTTGTACCTCTTTCCCCACTGGAATTCAAGCTCCATGAGAGCAGGGACCCTCTGTCCTGCTATCGCCTCAGCATCTAGACCAGTGTCTGACACCTGGTAGGTGCTCAATTAATATTGGTTGTTGAATAAAAACAACAACTCCTAAAAGTTCTACCAAGACATAACATTCCCTTAAGAGCTTAAGATTGTTCCCTGTGGCACAGTGAATAACAAATGCCAAGACTAGACTTGAACCTTCCTGAGAAGGCTTAAGTTAATGGGAACAGTTCCAGAAGGAGGAAAGTAGGTAAGTCCTTTAGCCCAGCAGGGGGCTTGGCAGTCTTAGGCAGTACAGGTGGCTTACGCATTGGGCAGTGGGGAGAAAAAAACATGGATTAAGAAAGTTGAAAACAAATAATCCAATCAGAATGAAGGGGGGAGGTCAAGGAAATGAGGCAGGAAAAGATGTAGATGAGGGAGAGATGATGTGGCGGGTGGCGGAAGAGAACTGACCACATCACTGACCCCAGGTTGCCTCAGAGGCCACTCTGCATAGGATGACATGCAGGTGTTGGGCGTATAAGCGCTTTCTGACCTTCCTCCATGATGAAGTGTCCCAAGATCAGCATCAGCTTCTTAATAGAGGTCATTTTAAGGCTGCACCAGACTACAGAGATCAAAGCCCACACCATCACTTAAACATGAGGACACGGGGGTCAGAGAGACTAAGCGTCCTGCTCATGTCATACCACAGGGCGCAGCAGAGCGGGGCCAGAAGTTGGTCTCGGCTCCATGGCCCAGTGTTGTTACTGCCTTAAGCCTCAGTTTAGGTTCAGAAGGAGGATTTCACTTAATTCTTTTCTATAAGCATGAGAAGAGGCAGAAGAAAGAGGTAGGGAGAGGGCTGTGATGTGGACAAGAGAAATTGAGAGCAGTATTTGTATTGATCGCTGGTAGGGCTGTTATTACAACCAAAGGCCAAAGATAAGTGAATCGAGAACTCCAGGCAAATAAAGACGATCACAATTTGGACCTCAATGAGAATTTAATTGTGCACACCCCACTCAATGCATAGACCAGCCTGAGCTTAATGATAGAGTAAAACAAGAACCAATAGGCTCTCAGACCAATCAGGCAAAGAATCTTCCATATTTAATATACTGGGGAAAAAAAACACACAAAAAAACAAGAGCAAAAAGATTATAAAACAGCAGCACATCTTGGAAACACCAGTCTTGGAAAGCAGTAAAGAATCAATCACAGCCAATGACCCTCCAGTGATGACCCCAAATCAACAGAGACTGAATCAGGGCAACAGTAACATGTATAAAATATGAGCAGGGCTTAAAAAATATAATTCCAATTTTCCAAGTTGTGTTTCCATGACTACCTGTAGAAAGTGACCAACCCTGGCAGTTAGGGCTGTTGGTTCCCTGGCTACAGTGATTGGTTCAAAGAGGAGCATGTGACTGCTTCTGTACCAAGGAGATGCAATGAGACTTTTGTAAGATGTGTAGGGCTGGGACTGGTGGCATTATAGCCACATGGTAAACATTCAGAGGCTGAGAATGAAGCTAATGCAGTAGAAGAGCTGAGAGGGGAGCCTGAGAAAGGCAGCAATTGGAGGCAACATGGTATTTGGATACTGATACAAACAAATTGAAAAATATGAGGCAACCAGAAACTTGAATACTGATCGATATTTAATAATATTAAGATTATTGCTAAACTTTAGGTGTAATAATGTTATTGAAGTTAAGCTGTTGTGTTTTTTTTAAAGAGACTCCTTAAATTTTTAGAGAAACATACTGAAATATTTGTGAGGAAATGATATGATGTCTGGGTTTGCTTCAAAGTAGAGGGGCGCAGGTGGGTAGGGATATAAATGAAACAAAACTGGCCTGAGATGATCATCCTTAAAGCTTGGTGAGGGGTGCATGGCAGTTGGTTATAATAGTCTGACTAGTTTTCATGTACATTTGAAATGTTTCCATAATAGAAAGTTTAAAAAATAAAATAAAAATGACTTATGGCTCACTCCCTTCTTTATCCACTAGAGGCTGTTAAAGAGGTTTGCTTACTCTGTTATATACATGCTCAGAACTGTAAGAAGTTACCTTTTACTTCTCAAAATGATCTCGGCTCATGGATGAAATAGGACAGAGGCTGAGGGATCCCCTGTAATAGTTCAGGACTCAAAGATTTCTTTCGCCCAAAAGCATTAAACTCTCAAAACCTGAGACCCTCTTAATGGCAACAAAAAGCAAAAAGCAGATGGCAGCAGAGTAGGAGGATACTGAATGGACATGCTCCCAGGAACAAGCTGGAATTACAACTGAAATACGGAAAGGCTTCCTGAATAATCAATGGAAAACTCATAGGAGAGAACCCTGATACCCAAGGATCGAAGGTGGAGACCGTATAGAGACTGGTGGGAGGGGCAGAGGCTTGAAAGGGCTGGCTGGACACCTACAGACAGCAACTGAAGTCCCAGAGAGATATCTCAGCTGTCAGGGGGTGCCACTGAGCACTCTGGGGATCTAATCCCCAAGCTAG